CCTGAACCTGTTCAGCCTCCACAAAAGAAGGCTGAGAGGGGATCTTGTGGCTTCCTATAAACTTGCCAAGGGGGCCAGCAGGCAATGGGAGAGTCCCTGTTCCCCTGAGCACTACCGGGGGTAACAAGGAACAACGACCATAAGTTGACTGAGAGTAGATTCAGGCTAGATATCAGGAGGCACTACTTCACTGTCAGGGCAGCTAGAAGCTGGAACCAACTTCCAAGGGAAGTGGTGCTTGCCCCTACCCTGGGGATCTTCAAAAGGAGGCTAGACAGCCACCTATCTGGGGTCATTTGACCCCAGCATCCTTTCCTGCCATGACAGGGGGTCGGACTAGATGATCTGCTTAGGTCCCTTCCAACCCTACCAACTATGAAGTTGCAGCAAGGGAAATTTAGGTTAGATCGTAGGAAAAACTCTCCCACTAGGAGGGTAGTAAAGCACTGGAATAGGCTACTCAGAGTGGTGGTCAAATCTGCATCCTTAGAGGTTTTAAAGACCTGGGTAGACAAAGCCTTGACTGGGATGATCTAGTTAGGGGTGGCCCTGCTTTGAGCACATTTTGGACCAGATGACCTCCTGAGGTCCCTTCCAGCCCAAATAGCTATATCTATATCTGCTAAGAAAGGGCTAATTGGTCCCATTGCTTCATGGTATCAACTGACACCCACAGGGACCTGGGAGGATGTTCTTTCAACATTAGTACTTGCATGCAGTATTGCAAAACTGGCAAGCTGAATTCCTGAGTTTTCTATCTTTTGTAATATAATGGATTGACCAGTACTGAAGCAGGATATCAGACTTGATAGACCATTACAATTATAATATGAGAAATCCTGTGCACCTATGCTGGAAGCTGTATAAAATAGATTTTAATGCTATAATGAATGTGTCATTAGAATATGATGAATATAATTAATATGGAGCTACCTGCAATAAACAAGATGCTGTTTTGGGAGAATGAGGTCATTCTGGGGAATAAGAAATGGTTAATGATCTACAGTATATCTGGACAGATATGAGAGATGGGAGTAAACTAGTCTGAAAAGAACATAAATTATGCCATACAGGGTTGAACCAATGGTGCATGCATCCCAGTACCCTGTCCCTGATAGTGGCAGGAGCTGATGCTTTAGTGGAAGATCACTGGACTGGGTACACCTAGAGTGACCTATTCCCTGTTTATTACCCTGCCTGGAATCCACCATTATCAGAGCTAGCAGAGGATGCACCTTTGACTTCCCTTTAATACCTATTAATAGATCTATTTTTTATGAATTTGTCTAGTTCCTTTTTTAACCTGGCTATGATACCTACTTCTACAAACTCCTGTGGTAATGAGTTCTACAAGTTAACTATGCGCTGCATAAAAAAATATTTTATCTTCTTAGTTTAAAACCTGCCTCCTGCTAATTTCAGTGGGTGCCCCTAGTTCTAGTATTCTGGGACTTGGTGAATAATAGTTCCCTATTCACTTTGTCCACACCCTTTTCTAATTCTACTACATCATTTTTGAAACATGGAGACCAGAACTGCACACAGTATTCAAGATGAGGATGCACCGTGTATTCAGGTAGTGGCATGATGATAATTTCCATTTTTTTTTCGATTCTCATCTTGACTACGTCCAAAATTTTGTAGGCTTTTTTGGTTGTCATGGCACATGAGCTGGTCTTTGTAGAGAACTATCTACAATGACTCCACGGTCTCTTTCCTGAGTCATAACAGCTAGTTAAGAATCCAGTATTGTGTTTGTATAACTGGGGTTATTTTTCCCCATGTGCGTTACCTTCCACTTGTTGACACTGAAGTTCACCTGCCATTCACTTAACTTGGTGAGATCTTTCTGTAGCTCCTCCCTGTCAGCTTGCCAGTTTATAATGATACCATACTTCATTATTCTATAAGAAACCCTTGAGTGCTACTTTCCCAGAATGTCTCAGAATTCTTCAGATTCTGATATGATGTTTCTTACCAACAACTACACATTTTATTTTTTCCATTTGGTTCTCCTGTCTGTTCACAGAGCACTCTGACCATTGTAAATGCTGCTAGGCCTTTTTTCATTCTGTTCCCATTAGACCTTGGTATTAAATTCAGAACTGTAGCACATTAAATAAACTTTGAATTAATATGCTTACCTGCATAACTTCAAAATATTCAAAATTATGCAAATGTACTAGCTTCTGTGTTTCTTCAAATCACTTGTGACAGGAGCCTAGTGTGAGTTTGGAAACAGTATTAACTGTAAATAAAGAGTGGTAAACCACACAAATCAACATTGACATCATTAATATGTGTTTCAGTGTTTAATTTTCAAAATGCTGATAACTTGTGGTTTTTAAATCATCATAATTCCCCTCGTAAAACATTATCTTTTTGACACTGTAATGTTATTGACTTGTACCATCTTGGGACTGGAGTCGCTAGTATTTGTAAGCTCCCTTGTTTGGAATTTAGGGCATAAATATGCATTTAAGCAGGAAAACTATATAAAGAATAATTTCAGGCAAATGCACAAAGGGCTCTGGTTTGGATGCCAGGAGTTTGGACAAAGCTGCCTTACAGTATGACTATACTGCAAGAAGGTGGCAGTAAAAATGACCTTGTGGCTTTCCAAATTTCAGTGAAAGACTTCCAAACCAAGTCATTTCAGTCTAAGAAACTCAACATCGTATGTGAAAACCCCACTGACTAGGTCAGGGGCAGGCAATTATTTTGAGCGGAGGGCTGCTTATTGAGTTCTGGCAAGCAATTGAGGGCCACATGATAGGCAGCCAGGGGCAGATCAGATAAATATTAATTTTCTAAATTTTTAGGGGCCTCTCGGGCCAGATAGAATGGCCTGGCAGGCCATATCCAGCCCCTGGGCTGCATTTTGCCCACCCGTGGACTAGGTTGTAGGAGGGTTATGTTTCAGTGCCCTAATATCTACATTGAAATAAGTTAATAGTCCAAATCTAGTTCTTGGCAAACAAAAATCCCCATCACCTTATCCCTGCTCAGCATCTGATGAAATAAGTTGTTACTTATAAAAATGTATGCAGCTCCTGCCTTCTGCCTCACTATCACACATCCACACCAGGGTTGTCACCTTTCTTGGTAATTTCAGCAGAGGAGCTAAGGTCATTTAAGCTAGGAGGGAAGGTAAACATAGAAGAAAAGTGGCCAGTCATCTCGCACCCTGTAATGATTTTCTAGTACAGGGTAGTTAGAAACTGTCCTCTAATTTCAAGTCTCAATACCCTGTACTTTTGGTGATTTTATACTAATTTATTCTTGTGTCTGCATTGTCTTTTAGCTTAAATATCCTTTATCTACCCTTTGTGTCTACCCTTCTGATGTATTTTCCAAGTCATATTCCTTCTCAGCCTTTCTTTTGTTAAGCTAAACAAACTATGCTCCTTTCTTTTCCTTCTCCTTCTCCTTTCTTTTCCTTCGTTCTCCACTCCTCTGATCATGCAATAGCCCTTCTTTGCACCTGTGCCAATTTAAATCCATCTCTCTTGAACAGGAGTGACCACAATTGTACACAAATGAGGTCTTAGTCACTCCTCTTGTAGTGGCATAAATAGTGCCCTGTCTCTTATGAAAATACTTTGCCTGATGCATCCAATGTTCACACTTGCCTTTCCTGTGGCTTAATCACATTAGAGTTATCCTGTGATTAACTAAATACACTTGGGACTTTACTCCTGTGTTTCGTTCCAATTGATGAGAATCTGCTTATGAAACATGTTTTTCTTAGTCTCTTGGTGTAGCTTTGCATGTTGGGATATTGAATTTCAATCTAGGTTTATTATTTGAGTCTTCACAATTACCCACATCTTCCTGTGATATTCCAGTTGTCCTCTCTGTAGAGGGAGACTTGTCCAGCTTTGTAAAGGGAGACTTCAGTCATGTTAATTTGAAGTCAGCAGAAGACCGAATATATTTGCACCTCTTTATAGACTATCTGAATCAGACATGTATAGCGTAAGTTGTCACAAGTAGACAGCTTACTTCATCAGATACTATGCATGTCTGATTTAGTTTATCAAGGTGCAAATCGATTCTTCCTTCTCCCAGCTGTGTGTCATTGTCAACTTTTATACACATCCTTTGTACTGAGGCTTTTAATAAAACTAGCAAATAAGATTGGTCCCATGATTGATCCTTGAGGAACTTCCCTTGTTCATTTCTTGCCAGTTTGCTAGTTCCACTTCCAGGACAAGGCTTTGTCATCACCCCTCTAATCCTCCTTCCCTAACCTTACAGTTCTTTTATCAACTCCATGCACCTACTCACTTTATGAAGGAGGAAAATAAGTATAATTGGTTTGTTTGATTAGATTAGTGGAGATTGACACTATTGTAGGAAAGTTCCTACAATAATCTGGTTATGAAAATGCTACCTTATTACTTTAAATAACAGAAATAGCCAATGGTTTTCTTACTTGAATGAAAGACGCTCTTGCTGTATGTTGTGACATCAGCACGCTCATCTGGCTGAGAGAGCTGTGCTTCTGCTGGCATCAGATTCAAACTCTGTAGTCTGGTCCCAATCTAGTAAAACTTTAGCATTTAAAGGGTAGTTCCACTTTAAAGAGGCTACGCAGGTGCTTGCACTATCTGCTGGATCAGGATCTATATCAGAGATCCCGCTAAAACTAATTATCAGAGAGACTGTTTTGTAGAAAGAACAATCTAATTAAGTGCAAAGGCACTCTTATTGGCCGTGGGCATATTCAAGAGCCCATTAGTATCAATTGGAATCGTTCTGTGACTCTATTAAGCTTTGGATCAGACTGTCAGTACTGGTGCTATTGCCAAATCAGCCACTTACATTAAAATAAGTGTCCCACAGCCCAGGGCAGCGCTTTAATTGGATCTGTTTAAAAGCCCGTTCGAGTTGTACCGTTGCAAGTTTCCCTGTAGACAATTCCCGAGATAAAGATTTGCCATTAGTTTCTGACGTGTCACTTGGAGGGGGTCAGCTTGCTTTGCTTTTAAGCAACAGACAGTCCTGCCTCAAAGAAATAGCAAGAAATTGCTCATTGTCTGAAGTATTCAAGGGACCTGGCAAGGAGAGGCACATAGAAATATTGCAGCTCCTATACTGTGAGCCTTCACTGCACCATTGCCTCTGCCCTGCCTCGCCCCACAGCTTTTTGGGCTAGAGCTCTCTTTTTGGGGCGGGGGGGAAGCTCAGAGTGGCTTAGAGCTGCCAGGTCCTTTGAGAGCGACTAAGAAGACTTGGGCTTGTTAGTCCACCAGACAGGGGAGGCGCATGCCGCCTGTCGGGATGAAAGCCCGATGTGACTGCGAGTAAGAAACTCGGAAACGTGGGCATCAAATAGGCTTAAAAGGTTGAGGAGCACAGCACTCCGCCTCTTAGCTCCCACTCCTTTCTCGACTCCGGAAAAAGACCAGAACCGTTCTTGTGTTGCAAAGATCTCCCAAAGCCCACAACGGGCCAGACTGGGAATTCCCTTTTGAAATCTCCGGGTTCATCATCTAGACCAGGTGCAGGTGTTTGTCCATCTAACCAGCGCTAATCCCGCACCCTTCAGTGGATCTCGAGGAACTTCAGGACTTGAGAAGCGCTGAAATCAGCCAGGAGGAGATATCTGCTTTTAAAGTGCTGGAGGGAAGGAACCGTCTTGCGTCCTGCTCAGGGGCCACCGGTGCGATTGCTGGGCGGGGAGAACAGCGGCCCGGCCCCGCGGGAGGGAGGTCTCCGGGCCGCAGCTTTCAAGCGGTCACTCAGGTCCGCCTAGACAAGCATCCAAGCCAGATGCAGACTGGGCCAAAACAAAGATCCCCGATGTGTTGCAGAGACGATCTCCCTTTCGGAAGGGAGAGAGGTTCTCAATTCAAATACTTCACACTTTTTAAAGCAGAAGGTGTTGAGTGACTATGAAGCCGGGCAGGTTTAGTAGCACCCACGAGTTTCTTCCACTGCAGATCCTGGGCAATCGACCGGCAGCTTCCAAAGCTTGCCTGTGTCCCAGGTCTCCGCACGCACGCCTTCCTCTGGCGACTGTCTGCCTCCGGCACTGCTTGGCTTCGCAAACTCGCCAAGCCTGGAGACTGAGATCGACCCGAGTCTGGAGTGGAGGTATCTGGGCTCGGCCCTTTGGCCCCCGGTGCCCTAATGTAGGGATCCTGGATTTCTCCGAAGTAAAAACATCCCCAATTTTCGGTTAAATCCACATTTGTCCATAACTAAAATGGAACACCACTCAGATGAGTGATGTTTCATTTAAATCACGAGAAAATGTGGATTTGGAGTTACTCGTTTTAACCGAAAATTGGGGATTGTCTTTAAACCAGAGAAAACCAGGATCCCTGCAGATGAGTTAAGGTCTTGTTTGCTCAGCAGAGGAGACTGAGTGACTCACTGGGGTGGGGATGCTGCCCTCGATGCACTGACTTTTTGGCATTCTGCTCTGCTTTAACGGGGGAATCGGGGAGGGGAAACTAGGGGAGCGTTGTAAAAACATCTTTCGCCCAGTGGCTCGATTGTCTACAGCTGATCGCACGGAGCAAAAGTCGAGCAGAGCAACTCATCTCTCTTCCTTTAAGGAGAGATTTGGTGCTGAAGCCCGGCTGGTAACCCTTTCCCAGGCAGGCACGATGCAGGCCAGGAGGCATCCATCCACTTGCATCTGGAGACACTTGCTTCCCGAGGTGCGAGATCCTTTCGGTCAGCTGGTTACCAGCTCATGTGCTGAAAGCAGGTCGCGGATTGATTATTAACTAGCAGCAGAGAGACTTTCCCCAAAGAGCAGCTCTTTTCGGGCAAACCCTTCCCGAGAGTGGCTTAGCAATACGGCCAAGCTAACGCTTCCTAGCCTGTTAGCTAAACTTTGAGGCAACCTTCCCTTCGCGGCTGGGACTGTATTTGGACAGAGCCCGTCGCGGCTGCTGTTCCAATCATGCGATAAAGGGACTCCTGAGATCATAGGAATAAACCAAAGCTCTCAAAGAAGATTTTTTTTCCAACTATTTGAGTTGGTTTAATAAAAGATATCAGATTTACTCAAAGAACCTGGTCTGCCCCAAGAATAAAGCCAGGAAGTCCTACAGCTGAAGTTTCTGGTCATTCAGAACTGGTGAATTATCACCATCATTATTGGTGTTGTTCATTTTATAAGGGAGGACAAATGTCAGATTATAACCGCCTTGAAAAATAAAAGCCCAGGCTGTCACTTCAGCCGGCACTTGATGAGCGCTCCCATTCGCAGCAGAAAAGCTCGGCTGCTTTTAGGAAAGATAAAGTTTGCTAAGCGCTGAGCCAATAAACACCACGGGCAATCAGGCGAGAGGCGCGATCTCTAAATAAACCTGCTTGCTGCCCAGCTGTACAGTTCACCCCATGCTTTCTCCCCGGGCAGAGTGGGGCTGGGGCTGAAATTCCCCTTTTCAGCCAGACGCGCAGCCTTTCCTTTCTTTTTTTTTTTTTTTTTTTTAGTGATCGCCAGGCTCTGCCTTTGAAACCCGAAAGCGGCGTTTTAACTTTACATCCTTATCTTGGGAGGATCCTAGTTTTCTGCCACTACATCTCCTGCGAACAATCGGAGTCTAAGACCCTGAAAAGGGAACTCTTGCCCCGTTTCTGCTGAATGCTTTCTGAGTTCATATAATGCTAGGGCCTTTTGATGTGCTACAATGCGTGTTACGCCCAAAGATTGTCTCTTTGGACAGATCTACAACGCTTGGCTTGATGTTTGGAAGTTAAATGGACAGCGGGGATGTTGAAACTCCCACGCTGTAGCCACTGCCGCCGCTCGCTACACTGCCCTGCTCGCTCGCAAAAGGGAAACAGGCAGGGTGGAGTGAAGGCGGCTGGGGGAGGGAGTGTCCCTTGTTTCAATCCGCACTCAAGGAGGAGGAAAAAACATTCCCCCCCCCGCGTTCCACCGCAAAAAACACCCCCCCCCCCTTTTTTGGCCCCCCCCCCCCCGGGCTTTACTCTTTGGCAGCCTGCAAATAAGAGCTGTTGGCTAAAAAAGTCCGCCTTGTATAGGTAGCTCGTCTCTTCCAGTCACTGGAAACGTTACTCCTTCATGAAATAAAAATTTATGATTATTCAAATGTTGGGGACTGTGAAAAGAGAGGAAGAAAGAGAGAAAATTAATATTGCAGCTGTTCTTCTGATTAATGAGAGATAATTGCTCATGAAAAGTCACCCCTGTGGCATTTTGTTGTCTCCTGGATCTTTGTTCTTTTCCACTATTATTGAGGACTTTCTTGAAGACTAAGCGGTTCTTTTCAATTTTTGGTATTCAGAAAGTGTTGCTTGGTTACAGATAATGGAGAAATCTCGGGCTATATTGGGTAAGATGTGCCACAGACAGCAATATCACAATGCCACTTTCAGAGAAGGATGGATACAAGTTAACGATGCGCTTTCAATAAAACATTAATAGACTTGTTCACGCTTTTCTAATGACCTCATTAATGGGAGCTGGGGGCAAGTCCTGGCTCCTGTTTGTGTCCCCCGGAACAAAAACCCGATTCGAGATCGCGGAATGCTTTGGAAGCGAATCTGATATCGGGGTTAGATTTAAGGAATACATTTGAGCAGCAAACGCGGGGCAATATTCCGCTCGGCTGCTAAACTGCTCCAGAGCAGCAGATGCGGGGGGGGGGTTGATCGGCCGGGGTTTGCGAAGTTTAACTCGGAGCCGTGTGCCCGCAGTGCTAGCCAGATCCCTGCCCAGCCCCCCCGACAGGCAGATCCATTCCCTTCGCAGGCATTTGGGGAGGGGGGGTGGCTTTTGTCACCGAAGCCGTGAATCTCCTAGGAATAAAGGTGCTGGGGACATCTGGGAGAAAGGGGAGACGTGAGCGTAGCTGGCCCTGCGGAGGGGAGTAGCTCTGCTGTTCTTTTTTAACTGCTCCACTTTGAAAAGGGGGCAATTTCGTTACATTCTCATTTGTTCCAGCGTCTTGAACTAAAGGCAGACAAAGCTATACCCTGTCACCCCGAGCAGAATGGAGGGAATCAAAGGATTTTCCCTTAAAAGGACTAATTTTCTCCTTGAATTATGAAAGTAATGGCTAGGTAACAGCCTGTGCTCTGTACCCGACTGCTTAATACCTTCTAAATCCTTCCACGTGGCTCGACTAGTCGTGGCAATTAGAGCTCATTATAGGCTCATAAGAGCGCTCATTTCGGGGATTACTTAATGGGCAATGAAATTTTATCGGACAGAATTATTGAAAAATAAAATAGTGAGGAGGTCGCTGTGATGTGGGCGCGCGCCGAGCATCATTCCGCCTGGGCTGGGGTAGCGGTGCCCGCAAAGCGCTGCTTTCTGTCTCTCCCCATCGCTGAGCTCGGTTTATTATAACAATTACGGCTTAAAAGCCCGATCTGATCTTTACTCGGTCTGACTTCCCTTGACACAAGGCTATTTCCCTCGCAAGATCGGATCTGGCGCAGCAGAGAGCTTGTCC